GTAAAACAACAACATATGTATTTGAGCTGCTATCATATGAATGTGCAATTAAAAAGGCTATTCGTATTCTTAGAATGATTTCTCATTTCGAGAAGATCAAACAGCAATTTTAATATGTTTACATTAGAGTCCTAGACTTTTAGACCATTTTAATTACATGTCATAAGACCACCATCGCGTCATAGCTTACTGGTGGCATTCGAATTACTACCTATCTCATTAAGTTGCGTGRATAGACTGAAGCTGTAGTCTAGATAGTATAAGAAAATACAGGGCAAAGTAGCGAAAGTGCTAGAGTTTGCGGAAAGTCCTTTAATTAATCTGGCCGAGATTTCTCAACCTCACCTTGTGTGGAACGAACTAACCTCACAATTTGTAATGTACCTAATCGAAATTTCAATCAAGCTACCAATGGCAACGCAACTCGAAGATTGATTGTGCAGACAAATATGGAACGATACAATGAATCAAATTACAATTACTTAACAAATAGAATTTTAAGTAAACTATTCATGAATATATTTTTTTTTCTCGTTAAAATCTTCACTGTCATGTTTTTTTATCAGATTCAAAGAGACCAAAAATGACAATTCTTTCATGTATGAGCTATTTTGCTTATTTTTATACCCTTTCACTATCTATAGACATTTTAATTAAATAGTTAATGGCATGTAATGATGCCACGAGTACGCCCTGCTGTCAGGATCTATTTTGATATAGAATTCCTTAGAAAAGCCTTATAATACTAGCGCACAGCTTGTCTAGTTGGATGGAAATTACTTGGGTAAATTGTGTTTTGCTCATGTGACACCCACTGACATTCGTATCATTATTTTTAATATTGCTGTTCTTTCATTGCTTTTTTGTTACTGTTAGTCAGATTTTTTCTGAATTCTCTCCAAAAATATAAAATACAGCAATTCCGTTGTTTTCTAGATTGCAAACGCATTCTACCTCAGGTCTGATAGACATGCAGCAACTCGAAACAAGATGGTAAACAGTAGAGATGACAAATTGCGCATGCTCCATGCGTATGTGATTCGAACATTGCAGGAAAAGGAGTGATACAATGTCCAATGGCGTAGATCTCACAATTCAACAAAAAAAATGTTCCTAAATGGTGACCCCTATTACACTCTGCCATCGGCGTTGCGAGAAGAGTTGCCGAGAAAATCGTGCAGCACTGTTTGATTTTAATGACATTTCTCTCGACAAATATTTGCTTTATGTTACATCTTTAACCCCAATTAATACGTGTGACGTTATTGAACTTGAGACAAATTGTAAGAGAAATTCTGTTGTAGGCGTGAATTCTTGCATTCAGCCGACTTGCCACATTTCTTTTACGAGACGAGTTAATACACGAAAGTTTGACATGGTCTTAAATTATTAATGAAAATAACACATTGATCTGTTCAGCACGAAGAAACCTACAGAAAACTAAACTAACTACATAACAATCTTCGTCGATGCGCATCCGACAACATCCAAGTTTCGGCCGGCATTCGGCAGCTAAAGATCTCCAAAGTACAAATGTCGGATCACCCAATTGTTTAGGTATCAGGCCCTTTTTGTCCTTTGTAATTGCCAGTCTATTGTCAATGGACGATATCCAGCAATGCTAGTATAACAAAATTGTCTTTTTGAAATAATTACTTTCTTTTTTTCCTACCTACTTTTTTTTGGCATGTTCAAATACAAAATAAAGCATTAAGCTAAATTTTGTCTTTTGAAACATTTTTTTCTGCGAAAACAAGTTAATTATTTTAGGTACCAAATCATTCTCATGGCTTAGTTTTGTTTTATATCACCAGTTTTGATAGCTTGTTGTGACTATTGCTAGAAAAACCAAATCCTATCGATTTATAAAATATTATAAGGAATTGCTTCATTTCTATCTATCTTCATATCACTCTTCATAGGCTTCCATCAATTTTTTAGCTATCACTACCAAATCTCGAAAGAGAAAAATTAGTGGTCATTTTTTAATTAATAATTTGCTCTCATATCACTTTTAACATCTATCCTTTATTTCTGAGCTTCTTATAGTTTTTCTTAGTTTTTGATTGTTATTTTTTAAATATTTCGTCTGATAATAAATAAAATATGGATTACCAGCAATTGAGAAAGAAACTTAACTTAGACGAGCCAATGTCAAAGCTAAGCTGAGTTTCCTTTATCTTTCTTTTAATCGACATTATTAAACTTTGTTAAAACGACGCTTTTCAGGTAAATTGACCTGAATAACCTAAAATATCACGAAATGTAATAATAACTTTAACTGAGTAAAATAATGTTTTACGTGATCATAGCATTAATTTATATAATATAACGGCAAATAAATGCTGAGTCCTTAACATATGATTACCTTCTGATAAAGCACTTGTAAAGTATAAAAGTATACAAGCCTGCAGTGGTATGACTTTACAATTCATATTTGAATGATGGCAAGTGAAACAACACATCTATGTTCACTACTTGAAATATAAAGGCAAGAAATTTACATAACAATGAGTATCCATGAGAAATTCAAGAGGAAATCCAATGGAATTTTGCCAATGTAACGCCAAGGAACGCATTTACGTCGATGTGATGACGAGTACTAGCCACGTCACGGACTTTAACAGGAACGCTATTTAGGAGTTGACGTAGTAGATGCAATATACATCAAACGTGATCGAACACAGGCCAGTGGCGGATCTAGGGGTGTAGCGGAGTATCGTGTTACTGACTATTTAATGTATAATAACGTAGACGTAAAACTACAATACAAATACAGAGAAAACGCTAGTTACGATACAAGCTATATCAATAGAAACGATTACAAGCAAACACAACGAAAACCAAACTTACCGACTGTCCCACACAAAGGCGATACTCCGAGTACAGAATTTACAGCTCAATTCGCAGTTCCACAAAGTACGTTATCTACAACGCGAAGACGAGAGAAAACTAATACTAATCGAATTTACATGTACACAATTCTCGTGGGACAGTACAAAAAACTGATAATACAAAGAACTAGAATACACGCGGGAAAACTAAAATGACAACGGAACTAAAGCTAAAGCGGAAACGGAAACGGAAACGAACTACTTAACGGAAACGGAAATACTATTATGAACAAAACGTATGCAATAACTTTACAAAGGGTAGTACGACGGGGTCCGCTGCACACGTTTTTTTAATTTTGAGGTTTTAAGGTTTAAATTTTTGAATATAAAGAAAAATATAATTTGTAAAATTTGATTTACAGACGTTTTGGATTGTGTCTTGTTGTTATAGCTTGTTTTTGGCGTCGTACAAGTAATTTGCGAATCTCAAGTATTCCAAACAGTTCGAGCCATCACCATTCCCCGACCAACTGAATGGACTACCTGTGTTGAAATGCAGCACGCATGCGTAGTCTAAGTACGGTCTTGTCAGAAGGTGACATCATATGACGTCAATATGACGTCATAGCAATGTATTTTCCTGAAAGTTTAACACTTACCATGACATATCTTCCCGTCACCAAAGAAGCCTCGTTTGCATGTACAATTAAACCCGCCTGGGGTGTTTGTACACTGTGCATTTACGTGACAGGCTCCATTTGACGTGCACTCATCAATGTCAATTTGGCAAGCTTGACCAGTGAATCCCGCGGGACATACACATCTATACGGGAAGGGATCGTCTTCAAAGTCTCCCTCGCACGTTGCATTCTTTACACATGGTGAACTTGAACATGCGCTCTAAAAAGTTTTTCAAAACGTTTTTCTAGGTTTATTATCAGTTGAGAACAAGTACATTTCTTTTCACTGAATGTGAGCGAAACCTCTGATAAAATGCTGGCTTTTCAAGTTCGTTATCTCGATAACTTTTTGATTCAAAATCTCAAAGAAAAATATCGTTTTTAAACTTGTAAAAGTGTGCTGCCATAGTTACCTAATTCAAATGTCAAGAAACCACTTTTATATGTCCGATTGGCTGATAACAAAACGAAATAGGGACTGGGCCCGAACTTCAAAATGTAATTAAATTATTAAAGGGTTTACTGAGTGTAGCTTATAGCATTAAAGGTACGGACATCCAAACCATGCCAAAATTGCAAAGAAGCTGTATGGTGTCCAGCCAAACATACATTGTTTGTAGTTTTAGAAATTTTTGAAAATTTTTGGAAACTCTATTTCCATTTCTGATGACTTAAACTTGCTCAAACTTTAAACTTTACTAATTTATAAGTGCTTTATCTATCGACAACAGTTTGTGTAAGATTTGTCACTTTAAAAAAAAAATTCAGTCCCGGGCCCGTGCTCGTTTTGCTATCGGCCAAACCAACTCCTAAGTGTCTTTACCTCTGAGCCATAATACGTGCAGTCGTGCCTCATTACAATCTCATGACATTGACATGGTCTGAGTCTAGCAAGTCGCAGGATAACGAATTATCTGAGTTTTTACAAATGTTGATAGTGAAACAACGTGACTCCAGGAAACACTTCGACATGTATTCATCTAACTAACAAATCTATTTTTGTTACCAACTTTGATTGTTTTTAGATACCTTTTTGAATATGAAATAATTTCCACCAACTGAGTTTTGTGGTCCCTTTTAGGGTATACAATGACCCTAAGACGTCATTAAACAACAACGTCGTCATAAACTCAYTACGAACTGACGGCGTTTGATGCCCATTTGCGAATTTTGCTTAAGACTAAAGAGGAGTCGCCGTGTATAAAGCTCAGCCAATATATAATACTATTTTTCGAGGATAATCGGAATCATTGTCATTCTGCATACGTGGGCCAGGTATTTAAGATGCTGTTTAGGGTGAGCTTTAGTGATATTGAGAAGTTGTCTGTTGGATATCTCAAAGCTCCAGTCAACTGGGTCAGCTGTGGCAGCAGTGTTATTGTTCTTTCTTTTCTTCGAATCTAGAGCATCCTTCCGTTTGCAACCTCCTCGTATCTTCTTCCTTAGGAAACCATTCCATACGACTTTCATTTTTTTTTAATTCTTCTGATAACTCCCATGCTTGAATGCTGTACAGCAATCGTGATCTTATGTCATTAGGGAATGAATGCGCTTCTCTGTTAGGATATGTTTCAGCTGTTCCCATTTCTCTGGAAAGCAGATCATATCGACCAAATAAGCTAACGCGTTGCTATGTACGTTACCACCCAATTCTAATCCTGTGGGAAAAAGAAGTTTTCTTTCTAAGAATTCAACTGTGAAATGAATATACAACGAACAATGGAACTTACTCCTGGGTGGTTTGAATTGGGTGGAAACGTTTATAGCAATGCGTTAGCCAATTATGTCTATTCTCGTGTAGAGTGATTGTAGGGTACTGGTAGAATTAGTTATTGCATATCCAAGATATTAAAAGCTTCTGACGTTCTTCAGCGCCTTTGGACCAATGGTGACCAGACTTTCCTTTTTCCATCAATGCTTCATCTACATTAAAAACCATGGTTTCTATTTTGACATATGAAATTTGAAGTCCAAAGCGTCTGTAAGTGTTATCGTAGATAGACAACATTTTCTTCAGCTCCTCTAGAGAGTTTGCAAATATGACTTGGTCGTCCGCATATAAGAGTTCTGTTGGACCACAAGGGACCGTCGCGGCAGTGAAAACGTACCTCTTAGTTTGTTCTTGTTCTTTATTTTTGCTTTGCACTGGTTTAACTCACTGGACGGACTGACTACTACTACCCTGTTACATTGCTTTATATACGTTTTACAAAATTAGACGGAACCCAAATAATAATTTGATATTAACTAAAACAATAACCAATTATGTCATCACTCCATACTGAGGGGAATTCCCCATTTAGGACGACCTTGGCTTATTCTACAAATATCGATCACGTGAACATTTTTAAACTGCGTCATAATCTTAAACTAAAGTAATTACTCATAAAAATACAATAATAATGATATTTGAACATTTCACAATCATTCTGTAAATTCAATATTGCTATTAACCCTACAGCATAAAAATTGCTGGACATTAAAGCTACTGGTAATTCAAAACTATTTTTCCTGGTAATATAAAACTACAGGCACATGACTTGACATATTTCAATTTCTAGACCAAACTATAAAACTGCTGACGAATCACTTAAAGTTGAGATCTACTATTAACTTAATATAATAATATGTGGTATTTATATAGCGCCGATATCCTCTGAGTTCACAGGCGCTTCACATGTATAGATCATTTCACACGGACCGCTGTAGTTAAGGCGCAATTGGCAGCCACGCGGCTTACAATCATGAGGGGTTAGTAATTAGTATGGGTTAGTAGTAAGGCCTAGCCACACACACCGAGAATCATTCCCTATACTCTTATGCGAACAGTGGTGTGGGTTCTTTAACGTCCCTCTAATACAGGTTAGTGAGTGAAGTGTAGAGAGACGGGACCTCCGATTTTACGTCGTAATCATTATTAACATTGTATTAACTAAATGTCAGGGAGGCGTAGTCTAACAGTTCTGTAATTTGATTGTGACCATATGCCGGTGACTTCTTTCGATACTCCCTAGGAGAAACTTCATTTGGGATGATTTAGTTTACTTTAAAGCCTGATTTTGGGATGGGTTGTGATATTTCATGTCGTGCAACTCTAGCCACGAAGTCTAGAAATCTACAACAAAAAGTCTAAAATGTCCTCCGCGGCTTTTAATTGTAAATAAATACTGCATTTTGTTTCTTTTCCGTAAAAAATCTCGATTTATTGCAGTAAACTCTTTAGCGGCAATAAAGTTCCCAGATATCACCAATCGTTAAGGCGCCGGTTTCTTTGTTGTTGTCATCGTCATCGCATAAGTACGTATTTTCAGGATGGAACGCGATACTGTGTTTATTTGCCCAATAAAATGGCCGGTTGTAAATTCTAAGGTCTCCATAATTGACTTTCCTTCCCCAATGGTTAAGGTTGCCAAGGTCTCCCCATCGATTGCAATGATCAGACAGGATCGAAGTATCGTCGGGAAGTTTTTGAAAGGTGGTACAAGCAGTAGGCCATGTTGCATCGAGGAGGAAGTGGTCGAGTACTTTGCGGCCAGCGGTATCATTAGTAGTCATGATATGAATGGTTCGTCCAGGACGGTTCTTGAAACAACGAAAGCGTAACTGATGGAAACCCATCGCTAGCCTTAATTCTTGGAGTTGCGGGGATTTCATAACATATCTGATATCTCTCCAATTAGAGATATCGCGATAGTTTGTACTCGTGATTACACCATATTGACGGGGGCTCGTCGAATTTATCTCAGCCTGTTTTATTAATGTCCACCCACCTGAAGTAAAAAAGTCCTCATCAAAAGCCATTATACTTTCTCAATTATAATTAGGTCAATGAAGGGTGTTCGAAAGCACTTCAATTCAGTCACTTTGCATTCTAGAGATCTGATTGGTAAAGAAAAAAAATCAGCGGGCACAGAGCCTATGAAATTGAAAGGAGGTAGATTTGGAAGACCTCTACGAATAAGATTGGAACTACCATTGCTTTAATTGTTTCGATATCCTTGAACATACCATAACCCATACGAATGATTTAGTTACCATTTTTATGTCGTAAGTTATATTCTTGGGGCGTATGTTTTACTCTAGAAAACTTAATATTTGGTGCTGATATTAGTTTTTATTATAATATTCAGAAAAGGATATGATTTCTATATGCATACTTGGTTCTTATAATGAATACAATATAATTGACCTGAATCAGTAGTCATATCACAGTAGACAATGAAGGGTTGCCCAGTGTTTTCAGGATCAATCCAGTATTCTCCATCTCCTCGTGAATAGCCAAGATCTTTAATGCCCTTGCATGATCGAGCCACTAAAAAACAGAATAAGAAAGAAAGGGGTGCTGTTATTTTGTAAAACATTAGGTGTAGAAATGCAGTAAATGGACTTAAAATGTGAACTGAACAGATACACTAATGGTAGACTCCAGTGACTTAAATCCGTCATCTACGTGCGTCTGATGCGCAAAGTGAATGAGAATACTTCATGGCCAGAAAATCCGGACATTTGAGACCGCAATCGCAGCGGTACTTCGCATAAATGCATAAAAAAAATTTTGTAAATTTTACAAAAAAAAATCAAAAAAAATATTTGAGAATAACATTTCATCTGTTTTAACTGGAAAGATTCCATAGATGAATTCGTAGAGGGAAACTATTCTTGATTCCACTGTAGGAAATCCAAATAWWTCCAATATTGTTAACAGCGTTCTTTTTGACAATTTATTTTCCTTTCGTCGTCTCCCTTTGGCCTTGTATCTCATGGTGAAAATTCGCGAAGAAGCGAAATTTCACCGTAGCTGAACGTGTTCCTTTACATTTCCCTGATATTCCATAGATAATTTCTCAAAGTCCACATATTGACACAGCGATTTTCAGCTATTTTGAAGACGATTAACAGCGTCCTTTTTGGTACTAGAAATCGTACAATTTGAAAACACTTGTCGGTGAAAAAACTTGACGGTGAAATGGCTGGCGAAGACTCCTGTTTCACGCGAATAATTGGCCTCGATCTTCCATTTTCTTTTCATTTTATTCGCCATGTTTGGTGCCAAAATAAACCTTAGAAACGTGGCTTTCAGTCTGGGACTGCTTTAATTTTGGCGGTTTTTACTGGCGCCTTGCGCGCAGTGGTAAATAGCAGGAAATACGAACGAAAGAGTGTAAGCAATGTCAGACCTTTTAAATTCCTTAGAAATGTACAAGTATAAACAAAAGATCACAGTATCAACTGATCATCATTGTTTAAAATACCTGAGGGAAACGTGTGTTCCAGCAAATAATATTATTTGCACTATGAACATTCCAAACGAGCACCTCACAAGCCACTAATGAACTCAAGGATCAGGGCGTGCTATCCCAATACTCGTTTGTAGATGTTTTGAACGTTTCCATTTTAGTCCAGTATTGTATTAAGATAAAGGATCATTGCACAAGAGTAGAAAATTTGATCTTCAAAAGTTCAAARRTCAAGGGAACTTGTAGAAAGCTCTATTTTGGTGGGAAAACCCGCTGACTCGTCCCAGGCTCAAATGTCCGGAATTTCTGGCCATGAAACCATAATGCTCCATACAAATAAGAAGCTTATGTTATTTCCCAATTCACTACGTGTTCTTTGTTATTCATAGTGTTGTAGAGAACAATTGAAACTTAAAGCCTGGGAGGGATTTGATATTCAGCAGTGAAATGTGGGCTTGAGTTGAATTGAATAGCTCATTATAGAGTCCCTCAGCTTTTCACTCAAGCTCTTTGTTACTTAGCGTCAGAACTTTGGAATTGACCAACGTGTATAAATCAGAAGTTATATTATTAATCGTATATCTCCGCTCTTCGGGCTATTTCAACAAAGCACGTACACACCACTTAGTACTTTATTTTGCTCCTTCTGGAATCCTTCCCTCGTTTAACATCGGAGAAAATTGTTATTTTTCACTTCTGCAGATGTGTCATCGCTATTTGCGGCCGTAGGCTTTTTTGGTTTTGAACGGTATTAATTATATACCAAAACTTTCAAATGAATTTGTTGATTATTGGCCTGAATTGTTAAAGTTTCCTGTCTGACTCACTTTAACTCGAAAAAATTACACTCGAGGTCTCTGTCCATCCCATAGCAATACTAAGAACAAAATACCATAAATACAGATGGCAATACCAGAGTACGGGATAAAGTTGGACCCGAACAATATATTGGTCCAGATTCCAAGGCAATCACGTTTTGGCTTACCCATCTCTCTACACATTGCATTATCAATAGAGTGTTTCAAAAGAACATGCGCCACAATTCGACTAAAAGAATGGCAAAGATGGTGTGGCCAGAAGCCTGATAGCTTTGGGTGTCCCGTATACTTAGTATGTTTAGAAAATCGTCTAGCTTTAAGGGAAAGGGGTCTGTAGTCTAATTGTCCAGTTATGGTAGGAGGCATGGCATATTATTTTTCAATAAGTGAGAGGGGACATCACTAACTTTTCTGCTCTTATCACCCAG